AGGTTGATTTTAACCAATCATTTGGTATCTTTCCTGTTTCATAAATCTGATTGAAGAGCTGCAGTAAAAAATTCTTCCCATTGTCTTCCAGCAATTTTAAAATTTCTACTGGGATATCATCAGGTCCTGTGGCTTTTCTTGTTTTTGCTATTTTTATTGCATGTTCAACCTCTTCCATAGTGATATTTGGTCCAGTTGTTATACTTCCCATATCTATATCATCCATAGTGTCCTCAAAAAGTTCTTCAATATATTCCTTCCATCTTTTTAGCTTTTCATCCTCATCTAAGATAATTTCCCTCTTTGTCAACTAAGTTGTTGGTTTTCTTTTTATAGAGGCCTGCTGCTTCTTTCACTTTTTTGTGTAAATTGAAATTATCATGTATACGTTCTGTCTCTTCTATTTCCTTGCATCTCTTTGCAAACCACTTTTTTTTGCCAGTCAAATTTTTCTTCTAATTGTTTTCTGCAATTCATTGTATTTTTCTTTGTTTTTATTTTTATAAGATCTTCTTTCATCCATGAGATGAAGAATTTCCTCAGTCATCCACTGTTGTTTCTTGTGGTACCCCTCCTCTGTTTTGAATTTGTTACCTCTACTATTGCATTTTTAAATTTATTCCAGTTCACTTCTACATCATCATCATTCAGGTTGTTGGTTTCCCTTAAATGATTTTCTAGTTCTTCTTTAATCTTACCTCCATGTTTAATGATGAAGTCTCTGTTGATTCTTGGTTTAGCAGGGTTCGGGTTTTTCATCCTTTTTAGTTTCAGCTGGACTTCAGCAAGTAGTAGATTATGATCAGATGGTACATCATAGGAGGTGATACCAATAGTTTTTCTTTGACAACAGATATAGGCATTGCTTACCAATGCCTTCCTCCTAGAGCTGAGGGGGGGGGAATAACCAGCCCAAAATCACCCAGCTGGCCCTCATGGCCAAATCAGGATTTGAACTCACATTTCTCCAGCTTTGTAGCTTGTGGCCATAACCATGAGATCAAATTGGTTCTCTATAAAGGTTTCACTTCCCCTCCTTGGCTCCAAGGAAAAGGAAAACATTATACAGCAATTAATCATCTCTTTTACAGTAGCAAAGAGTTCCAAAAAAACATGCTGTAAAAAATAATTTTACAGGATTATTCCTTTGACAAGAATGCCCTCAAATGCATTATTAAACATAAATCCAGACTAAAAAGCAAAGGAAAATCACTGAAGTTTGACACACATACACAAACAGAATATCAGAGTTGGATGGGACCTTAAAGGTCTTCGGGGCCAACCCCCTACAGAAAAAATGTTGTCTAATTTTCTCTCAAAAATCTCCAGTAATGAAGCACACACAGCTTCTGGAGACAATCATCCCTCCTTTCTCAGGCAAAAGTTGCAAGCAGAAAAAAAAGGGTTAAAAGGAACAGAAAAAAAACACACTCACCCCCCTTTCCTACTCAGATACAATTTCAAAGGCAAAATGAGATTTGCATTACTTGAACATTCTGTCCAGCAGTTAATCTTAACTACATCCCTCTTAGCTCTTTTGCAGAAAGAAATCACACTCAAGAGTTACCAAGGTGTAGAAAAAAAAATCTCTAAAACAATCACCCACAAACATGCAAAGGTTTCTTAATTTAAGAAAGGGGGAAATAGGAAATAACATAATCCCTTCAGAAAAGATCTCAAATACTATGTAACCAATGAGTTAGCCAAAATGTAATAGAATTACAGACACACAGAAAATTTTCAAAACAAAATTTTGCACTAAGAGATTTCTTACATCCGCTTTGTCCCACACATTCCAGTTAGAAAAGGTTGGGGGCAGTGAATGCATTCCCCCCCCCCAGAAGAGGGAAAAGAAATACATAACTTTCTATGAGTTTTCTATAGATCAGTTATCAACTTAACTCATTAAGTTCTCTCACAAAATAAAAGATCAAAGTCCCGGCATAAAACTCCACACTATGTCTCTCAATCTCTCTCTCTCTTGTGTTCCACTTACATCAGGGGTCTTCAACTTGGCCCTTTTATGACTTGTGGACTTCAACTGAGAAATTCTGGGAGTTGAAGTCCACAAGTCATAAAAGGGCCAAGTTTGAAGACCCCTTGCTTACATATACCAACATCTTTCCATTCTATGGGATCATCCCCATTCTGTTTAACACATTTAACACATTCTATTGTCCTTCTAATTACTAAGAAAGGCTAACTAGCCCTCTTTTAAATTTCCACTTTTTTCTTTCCTGGGGCAACTTGTGGCTTGTTCTCTGGGCAGTGAAGAAAATGCAATGAGTGGTTCTGATAAAAATGTAATGGGGGGGGGGGGGCGCTAACTACTGCCTATCGGTTCGTCATTGCTTTAAGCCAAGCTGAGAAGCCTAATTTTTATTTTGTTGGCTGGCCAAACATGTCACCAGTTTTTTTTTCTTTTCTTTCATTTTTGTTTCACTGTCCAATTGGAATTATACATAGGTAAAGGAATTTTTATATAAACATATTCAAAGGTACCTTCAGATTCCCATACACATGCACACACTTTTAACAAGCCCTTTCTCTTTTCTATTCAATTTAATTTTAATTCAATTCGAATCCTGCTAGCTTCAAGAAAATTATTACAGAGACACATCAATAGAAGTCACATCCAAATGGAGTATTTAATTTCCAACTTCCCATTCAGACAGGCTAACCTTACCTGCTCAATCCCGGGTGGGAAGAACAACACTTTTCTTTCCTCATAGCTGTCCATGCCATGTGGGCCCCAAATTGTTTTACCAGATCCAGGAGATTTTAGTTTCTCCAGGATCAACTAAAGAACTTTACTTTGCTCATTAGAATATCAATAGACTCAAAAGATTTACCTCTTTTCAGAGTCATCTTCTAGTGAACTCACTCACTAGAAACTAAAAGAAAAGTTAACAACTCAACACTCACCAAATTTCTTTTGAATAAACTTCATTTGGATGGACAGACACCTGCTCAATGCTTTAGTGCCCTTTTATAATTCATGATCTTCCTTTTTTAAAAAAGCACCTTTCAGGCAATGTGTCCAGTGAAAGACAAAAGAAAGGCCGGGGGGGGGGGGAGGGGGAACCCAGGGGTGCACCTACCTATTCCTTACCTTTGACTGGAAATCATTGCTCAGAGGTAAAATTCTGCTGGCTGGCTATTTGCCAAATTGATGGCCAAATATGGGTCTTTCAGGCTCATGCCTCAGCATGCATATTTTCCAATGAGACAAACGGAGACATCATTTTATTACAATTTATCAGAATATCCAGACAAAAGGGATTCCTCTCAGTCTTTAGCTTAGGACACCTTTTATAGTTAGCATAAGGAAGAATAATCCAAGAGGAAAGTTGATTGGACAGGATAAAAGTAACCTCTCCTTTGCATAGGAAATCAGTTACATCTGGTCAAGCATGTTATAATAATAATAATAAAGTTGGAAGGGACCTTGGAGGTCATCTAGTCCAACCCCCTGCTCAGGCAGGAAACCCTATACCATTTCAGACAAATGGCTGTCCAGTCTCTTCTTAAAAACTTCCAGTGTTGGAGCATTCACCGCTTCTGGAGGCAGGTTGTTCCACTGGTTAATTGTTCTAATTGTCAGGAAGTTTCTCCTTAGTTCTAGGTTGCTTCTCTCCTTAATTAGTTTCCATCCATTGCTTCTTGTCCTGCCTTCAGGTGCCTTGGAAAATAGCTTGACTCCCTCTTCTTTGTGGCAGCCCCTGAGATATTGGAATACTGCTATCATGTCCCCCCTCATCCTTCTCTTCATTAAACTAGACATATCCAATTCCAGCAACCGTTGCTTATATGTTTTAGCCTCCAGTCCCCTAATCATCTTTGTTGCTCTTTTCTGTACTCTTTCTAGAGTCTCAGCATCTTTTTTACATGGTGATGACCAAAACTGGATGCAGTATTCCAAGTGTGGCCTTACCAAGGCATTGTAAAGTGGAATTAATACTTCATGTGATCTTGATTCTATCCCTCTGTTAATGCAGCCTAGCACTGTGTTGGCCTTTTTGGCACCATAATATCACACACGTTCATTAAAATGAGATCTGACCTCAGAAGAGGCATAAATTGTAAGGAAAAGGGTTGTTTAGAGTTCACTAAAGAGATTAAACCAGACCCCAATTTGTACTAACAAACTTTTTTCTTATTTTCAGATAATCTTCAACCTGTTTATCTCTTCAATTTAGGAATGTTAAAAGCTATTCCTAAATTCCTATCTGTATTATACCTGAACAGAGAAAATAATCAATCTGAAGATTTATCATTTCAGTTTAGGAATGTTAAAAGCCATCTAATCAATCCATACAACTATCCTGTATTCCAATCTGTAACGAATCAACATTATTTTAAGAGAGAGAAAATACATCAAATTAAAATACAAAATACAAAACAACTGTGTTAGCTAACAAATTACAAAATCCATGTCATTTGCCCCTCAGTTCAAAAGGCTGGACAGAAATCTAATATCGTCTGAATCTGGTTTACGCGCACAACCTTCCTATGTCAATAAGTTCGAAAGAAAACATCCCTAGCCCCTCCTCCTCCCCTGGCCACCAGCTCCACCGACAGAGCCGCGCCCTCCTGCAGCCACGTGACGCCAGGAGAATCACGGGACGAGGACGGCCCATGTGCTGGAGGGCCCACCCCGGAAGTCACCCTGCACTGGAGGTCACATGATCCGAGGAGGCCAAAGGGGGAAACCGGTCACGTGGCGGGGGCTGGCTGGCTGGCTGAATGTGCCGGGCGGGCTTCGGGGAATCGCCTGGGCCTGAGGAGAGTGACGGGCGGGAGCAGAGAGCCTAGAGCGCAGCGGGGCCCGGTGAAGGTCGGGGTGGGGCAGCAGGAGCCTTTCAGCAAAGCGAGGACGCTGCTTCGGTTTGGGATTTTTCTCGAGGGGAGCGTTTTTAGCTTTTAGATCGAGGTTCCTGGTAGCTTTCGGGGGAGCCGGAGGTCGGGCTTGGAGGAGTTAGCTGGGCCTCCCACGGACAAACTGGGCCGAGAGACACCCGAAAGACAGGGCCGACCGTAACGGAAATCCACCGGCCCTCTGAAAAAGCAGGGAGGCGGCTTCGATCAGGCTTCCGAGAGCTGCTCTAGAGGGCAGCAGAGCTCTGGGCAAAGGAAGTCGCATTGGGTGTGGGGCGCAAGGAAAATCCTCGGAGAGGGAAGAGGCATTTTTCAGGCGGCCAGAAGCTTTTGTTACGGTTGCTGCGGAGAGGACGATTCCGAGAGGGATTGCAGGCCGGTGCTGAGTAACGCCGGAAGGGAGAATTAAGTTTTTGAGGCCGCTGAGCTTGAGGGTACAGAATCCACTCCGTGTGTGTTTTGTAAGCTTTTTACAAGAGTTTGTATGGGGTCGTTTACGAGGGGGAAAGTTTAGGGTGTTGAAGCAAAAGGCACGGTGAAGAATAACGAGCGTGGATACCGATACTAAATAGCCCATTTCGCTCTCTACTCTCTGGAAGCATCGCAAATTTGGAGGCACAGGGCAAGAAATCTGGGGATTTCACTGGAGCAACTTCTACAGTTTGAGTAGCTTTTTGTAGTTCCCAACAAGTGGCATAGTTCCTCATCTTGTTAGTTTGAGAACTATTTAACAGTGTAGAAAGAGTCATCACCAGGAAGCTTGTATTTTCTTAAAAAAGGGGTTGGAGCTGGACTTCAGTCAGATCCCTGGTGTTCAGTATCTTTCGCCTCCTTGACCTAAATTGAAGCCCAGGTAGAGGCCATGCAGAAAGAAGAACTGGGCATGGATGAGAATCGCAACCCAGAGGAAGAACTGCGTCTCCTGGGAGGAAAGAAGGAGAAATGCCATAATCTCAACAACCGTATCCGAACAGGTAACTTAGCTACTGGCCTTCCATCCCATATTTTATGTTCTAAGTTGTTTGAATCTGTTACGAGGCTTGCAAAAATCCAGGTGCTTAGGCATCCAGAACTTCACAATTTGGTTTGGGCATTAAAACTGTTGAAAGGTTTCTCTGTTATGCACCCAAAGAGACTTTTTCTTTAGCTTCGCTACCCTTCACCAAATTTTTCCATGAGCCCTCTAACTTGTAAGCCCAAGAAATTACTCTGACCAATGGCTTTCCCCAGCATAAGAGGGTGCTGATATTTTAGTTGTTGCTATTGCCTTAACAATAAAGTACTTTCAGAGAGTAATCCCTCCAAACTAGCTACCTTGCATTGCTGTTCTTAATAGACTCAATCAATATTAGACAGTCTTACCCTAAATAACCAATTGCCCCAACCCCAACTTTCCACAGAAGCATGGGCTTCTCTCATTGCTGAGTAATTCTGAACTTCCTAAGTCATCCCTTCTCCCACAATTTCTTAATAGTTTAGTGTCTTCTGTTTGAGTCATTGCCTTAAAACCTGACTGTAAAGGTTTCTTATCTTTGATGCCAAGGAAAGCAAAGCCTCCTTCCTCTCATTCAGCAGGAAAATCACACTTTATTCTTTTGTACTGAACAGAGCTGTCCCCCCCCCCACACTTTCTTTTTTTAATACCTCTGTTATCTTTTGACTGGAGATGGCTTTACTGCAGGGGCCATGAAAATGGTTCAAAAAAAATTCATTAAATACATCCTTTCTTGTCTATTGAAAAATGTGCAGTTGTCTGCTACTTTAGCTTATGTACTGATTTGGTGTATAAAACATTTAAATCAACCTTCTCTTCCATCATACTAATGGGAAAAAGTGGTTTGTTTAGAATAAAAAGTTTAGAATCCTTTGGACACTTGGTTTTATTTTATGGTTTCTCAATTTGCTGAAGGAGGGGTTCAGGATTGTGATGTGAAGGCATTTTTATCCCTTGACCGGGACTGAAAGAGATATTTTTATGTCATGAGCTTTGACATGAAAGCCTTGTGTTTAGCAACTTGATCAGTTGCCATTACTGATTAGGAAAAGTGAGTGAACTGATAGAGGAATCACTCCATTTCTCCCATTTTTTCTGTCTTGCTTCTGTACCATGTATGAAGGAAATAAAAACAGTTCCTTCCCCCATCAACCTGTTTGATGGTTTTATCAAACTTCCTCCAGAATTGTATCCTGAGTCCTTGTTTGGTCTGAGAAATAGGATGCTTTTCTGACCAGAATGCGAAGATAGCTCATTGGCCTATTTGTATTCCGTTAATCCAAAAAGGTTGTCTAGGTTAGAAGCTTCTTATGGAGAGCTAAATAACAAGGAAAATAAACAGTTGCTGAGTAAAATCTGTTTTACATTTAAACATTTGTTGAACCCCACATCATAGCACAGAAATTCATTCTTCAATTCTCTTTATTTTGCAACAGCCACACCATTATTTTTCTTGGAAATTGTAATATTACTTGGGAGATTTAGCAGCTTCAAAGACTGCTTTTAATGAATGAGAGCTCTAGCCATTGGGTATTCTCCCATTCCACCTTGAAAAGTAACTATAATGGCAATAGGAAGTTAAATTTCAGCATCCTGTTTATTCATAAAATTGAAGAGGTGTTGCACGGTCTAGGAACAAAATCCCGTATACAAATATATGGATGCCAGCCTGAAATGACTTAGCACCTTCTATTATTGAACCTTCTAATGCTAATGCATTGGAAGGAAGGAGGCTACAGGGGGAAAGTAGAAAAGGGGTTTTTTTTTCTCCAAAGACCTTCTGTGAAATGCTTTAGAGGGGGAAAAACATTTTATTGTGCAGTTAGTGACATAGATCTCAAATTTGCTTTCCTTCTTCAGGATCATGGGAGTCAAATGGATATACTGCAAGTTCTGAGATAGCTGATGAGCCCAGTGTTCCCCTGAGTCCTTCCAACAGCCTTAACATCCGCAATCTCCAGCTGTCTGAGCGAGAACCTCCCCAGCATACCCGCCGTTATTCTCCTAATTTCCATCATAGCCGGCCCTTCCGTCCTGCCTACCGCAAAACTTATCGAGGCAACCCCTCAGACCGCAAGGAATGGGGACCTAGCACTAATGGCCACCACTGTGCTCCAGAGGGTCTTTCCAATGGGCGATGGCAGCATCGACGCCGTGGCTATTCTGACTCACCTTCCCCATTGTCTTCCCCCGAATTGGAACGAGTCAGCACTATCAAAGCCAGTGAGAAGCCCGCTGTTGCATCTAATGCCTCTAGTGTAACCACTGAGGAATCCGAGAAGGAAACATGGTCACTCTTTCGGCCCCTTCCTGCTTTCCCAGTTGATAGCAGCAGTGCCAGGATCATTCCCAAGATCTCTTATGCCAGCAAGCTGAAAGAGAACTTGGATCAACCAGGCAAAGCCTGCCATGTTCCAGCCTCAGCTGTCCGCACCACTAATAGCCTCCCCAACTGTGTCTTGGCGCCACCCCCCAGCAGTCCCCCGCCAACCGATAGCAGTCGGCGGCAGCATTTGGGAGCCATCTTCCAAAATGAGTGGGGCCTCTCCTTTATCAATGAGCCGGGAGCCGGGCATGGAGGGGGTGGTGGAACGGCACCAGTCAAGGAGACAGAAAGTGCAGATGCTGGAGCATGTTGGGAAAACATGGAAGCCAGTGACTGGCAGGCTGCAAGAAATTATCACTTTGAAGGTAAGATAGCCTTAAGAATACAGTACTGCACAGGGAAGGGGATGTCTGCATGTTTTGAGGCTATTAATCTATTGGTAGCAGAATATACTGAGCAACTTTCAATTATAAGAAGCAGTCACATTTCAGGTGCACAGAAACCAGCTATTCGAATTAGTGGAAGAGGGAGGGGCATGGTTAATATTTTTTGCCCACAGAAAACCAGAAGGGTAATAAGTAAAAATCAACTTACAGTATTCCCTAAACTTCATTTTTCATGTTTATCTGGTAAGGGTACATTGACCCTTTGAATCGGTTTTGAATTAACAGTTCAAAAGGAGTCTGTCATTCTCTTTAACACTTTCCTTAAAAGGCTAAGGAAAAAAGTGTCTTCATTAAATTTCAATGGAGTCAGCAAGAAGTTTTTGTGTTTCCTTAAGAGCATTTCACTTCCAATTATTTGAGTATTACTATAAGTTCTAGCATTTAATTTTAACTGAGTCAGTGTTCTGAGTTATGTGTTAAATAATGCAGGGAGATGGGCATGTGGTTGCTGCACATCTGGACCAGCTTTTCTCAAAGTAGTTAAAATTTAGAAACTTCTTGTTGGACATAAAGACAATTAAAGGCTTATTGTAGGTATTATTTAGGAATAAAATACAGTAATGCTTAGCTTCTAATTTTTTTCTTCTCTCCTGATACAGAGTGGAGCCATATATGGGAGCTACATAGTCAAGGTAAGCAATGGAAGAATTTTCCTTTAAATTCTTAAGTCAGATGAATTTACATTATGGGATGGTGGTGCAGCTAAGCTAGTAATGCCTACTCTAATTGCATAGGCAGCTATTTTTAGCTTGAATGGGGATTATATGGGACCTCTGTGTTTTTGTATTCCTAAAGTTGGTTGAAGTTGAAGTTAAGGATTGTATTTTGGGACTAATCTCTCTAGTGCAGGGGTAGGCAACCTTGGCTCTTTTATGACTCGTGAACTTCAACTTCCAGAATTCCTGAGCCAGCTGAATGCCCTTTTATATGTTGGGTTGACCATGGCCTTGCTGGCTGGGGATCTTTGGAGTTTACGAAGTTGACCGTGAATATCATGGGAGGCAATGATTTCCCAATAAATCTACCTATTCCACAACATATAGTTATCTCAAAATAATAACACATCAGTTTGCCAAAAAGATACCTTGCTTTGTCAGTTCTTAAAACATATTGCCTCAGTTGTGCATTGAGCACATGTACTCTGTTCTTTGAGCCATAACTGCAAGTTGGTGTTGATTTCATTCTAGGTGTTTTGCCAGACTGAAACACTGAATCGTGCCTATAAAATAATTCCTATCCCCATTCATAATCTGGATAATTTTAGAGACAGTTACCATTTGAGAAGCTACTTCACAGTATCATTAGTCATCATGCTCCTGGATTCAAATGTTAGCCCAGTGCATTCTCCCTCTGCAGAAGCAAATAAAGGGAATGCATATCTGAAGGAGAGTGTCTAGGAAGCAGAGTTTAATTCTACTTGCATGATGCTGGGGGTCTTGTTCCTTTATTTTTTTTTATAGTAATACATAACATGTTAGGTCGAAAAAGTTTCTGCCCAGTGGTTGATAAATTAGTACAAGCACAAAAAGTAACGGGCAAAACCAGATCTCACAATCAGATAGGAGCAACAGCAGAATAATGCTGTTCTAACTTTCCACCCAAGATTCTTATTTGTATGGGATAATTGTATATATTGCAGCAGATATGTACAAATGGTATCTTTTAAGCATCTATTTTGGAAGAGAAGTATATCTTGCAGGAAGCATAGAGCAGGAAGTTTGTGTGCTACTCATGTAGCATCTCTTAAAGATACACCTTTCACCACATTTTCCATTTTTATTTTTTCTTCTAGCTCCTAGCAGAGTGATGGTCTACTCGGAAACCTTGGATGGGAAGGGTTAATTCCACAAATATCCAGGGGAAGCACCGCTAAGATATGGGGGGTGTATGGGGAGAGGCCAGGCAACTCACCCAACCCTCTTGAAGATTGGAGAGTCTGGGCATCTTGAAAGGGGAAGCTATGCCACCTGCCTACCTCCCTTCCCTTGCTGTTTTAGCCTAAAATTGTCCTGGGAGGCTTATGCCTCACCCGCTCCCACCATCTCTCTCTATCTCTGACTCAATGCTCTGGTTTTTCATTTCTTCACATGGTTTTTAATTTCTCTGGATTCCCCTGAAAATAAAGGCAAAAAAAGAATTTATTTAAATTCATTCCTCTTGCCATAACAGTGTCTTAATTCTTAACACACATCTTTCGTGTCCTGCCACCAGGACAAGGAAATGACAGTTAAAGGGGACACAAACGGGATATTTTGAAAGAGATGAAAACTTTCCATGAGTTTTTGAAACCTCAGAGTATCTTGGGAGTTTTATTAAATGAGATATGCGCAACTAAGAAATAATGCAAGTGTAATTTCTTAGTTTGGCTTCACTGTCATTCACACTGGTACAATACAAATACCACTTAACTGTAATGAAATTTAAGTAAGGCCCTTCCTGTCCTTTTTTCTTAGGATTCTAACATGTTTAGTAAGCTGTAGTGCTTACTGGGCACTATAGAATCTAGTTCTAAGCAGGGAAGATATAAGATATATGGAAGGAATCCTTTACTGCTGCTTGTCTTCATTTGAATTACCAGAATAAAGTAGCCTAGTGCAGGAGAGTAGGCTGGTGCCTTTTTAGATTTCTCCACTGAAAGTCAACCATTTGATCCTACTGAATGAGGTTACAATTTAATCTAATTAGCTACGTGATCTGGAACATCTTAAATGTAAAATGGAGCCTTGGTTGTGTTTTTTTTTTAAGTGTTACTGCTAATAAGAATTGGTGATCTTGCTCTCGCTTAAAAATGAGATTATCTGACTCCCAAGTAACCAAGTGAAAGTCATTGAATAAAAAGTAACTCAATTTCCCAGCCTAAGAGGAAAGGGCTGTGGCCTATTGGAAAGGACTGCTTGTTCGAGAAAAATAACACAGCAGAGAACGGACGGGTAAAATGAACGACTTCTAACGGTTACCTCAAAACTATTTTTTCATGTTCAGCCTGAACTCCCTCAAATGCGCGCGGTAATCCTCAGTCAAAATGGCTCTCGAAAGACAGTGCTCCACTGAGGGGGGGGGAGAGGGGAGGAAGATACGAGCTCCCGAGAACCTGTTCCGGAGTGGGGCGTGAACATCCACGTATCTGGGAAAGGGGGCAGCGTTTCCAAGGAGAGAATTGTAAGCGCCGGATGCGCGTGCGTACTACCTAACGCTCGCGCCTGCGGCTGCGTCACTTCAAAGCGATCTTCACTTGGACGATGACGACGACGACGAGCTACGGCGACGCGCGGGAAAGTGTCATCTTCTCTCGTGCTCTAAAGTATCGAATAGGGTTGCCCCGTCAAAGGAAAAGGAATCAGCGGTAAAGCTTCCTCTTAAAGGGACAGTAGCATTCTGGAACGTTGGCGGCCTTCGTAAAGCGGGAAGGTGCCTCAGCTGCGGTTTGGAGGGAAGAAGGAAAGGGGACGGAGGTAAGATGAGGCTGTTGCTTTGATGCTGTGTAGGCCCTCCCGCTCATTCTTCTCCCATCAGCGTTTTTTCGACAGCAGGACTTTTGTTCAGATTTATCGGTTGCTAAGCACTAACTACAAGTTCTTTGGGATGTAGGTTTAGCTGCCGTAGACGGAGACAGCCAATCATTGATTTGAGTGGAGCAGCTCAGGGTTGCGTGCTTGGCAGAAGCCTTCGAGCGATATTATCGGGATAGGCTTTCAGACAGGATGCGCTCCAACTGCAGGAATTTACCGCCCGTGCCTAAATCTTGCCATACGGTTAGGCGAGAGGACTGGGAAGGCTCAGGTTCCCCATGAATTTACTGCGGAGCTTTAGGTCGGGCATTTATTTCTCAGTAAGTCTCCCTCGGAGGCTTATTCGGAAAATAAAAGAGTCGCGTGTCCTTCACTGGGCCCCAATGAGGAAAACTTACACATAATAAGAAAAAAAGTTTACATGTGAGGGTGTTTAAGAAACTTGCATATAAGAACCAAATAACAATACACACTTGTAACACAAGTTTTTCCCCATCCAGGCTATGGCTGCATCCCATGCAGTTTCATGAGACGTGAAAAAAATCTTTATTTTATTTTCCCCTGATTTTTAGAATTTACAACTTTACAAATTGTTTGTTCCTTCCTCCCACCACTGTACATCCACACATACGTAAATGGACAGGAGTCTGATATGAATAGGCCAGTGATGGTGAACCTTTTAGAGACAGAGTGCCCAAACTGCAACCCAAAACCCACTTATGCATCGTTGGGTGCCAGGTGGATGTGGCTACGGTGTTAACAGCAGACTGGGTGGGACTAAAAAGTTCAATCAATCAATTCCAACTTTGCAAGATCTTTTTTTTTCCCCGCGAGAAGTTGAAATTGACTGATTGGACCTTTTTTTTTTGTACACGGTGGAGGCCTAAAGCGAAAAGGTTTTATAAAATCCAGCTGAAGGCCTAGGACTGGGGTGACAGAACATGTGCCCACAGAGAGGGCTCTGAGTGCCACCTCTGGCACCCGTGCCATAGGTTCGCCACTACTGGAATAGGGCTTGGGAGTGGTGACAACATAATGGCTCCCCCCCCCTTTCTCTAATCAGCTCTACATTTTTTGCTGAATATAAGCCAGGTCTCACCACCAATTCTAGCTTCCCATCTCAGGATCAATGTCCTTATTATGAGGCAGTTTTCCTCACTCTAGCTGTCCTTCATTTCAGGCACAGAGAGTGTAGATCTCACTGGCACACAGACACATGTATTAGTTTAATTGCTCATAGCTCATAGCCTTTTCCCCAGAGAACATAGAAAGACTTGGTTTCATTTTTAATAGCCTTTCTGAATGATTCCAGTGAGTTACACAAGATTGGTAGATACCAGGAAACAACTTGGCCATAAATAACCCGTAAAAGACTTGTAAGATGTATTTTGGGATTGATGGGGGGAGTAATAGTCTTCACATTTTCAGGCTGAGGTAGAGTCCAGAAGTGGGGGAGGGAAAGTACACTTTATCAAGATACAGCAATGTAGCTGACTGTTGTTCTATTAATATTGGGGAAAATAAGTTAACTGTAGCTCCTCCTGGCTATAAGCAAATGTATTTCTTAAGAACTGTATCTTTTCCACTTAATATGTCCACTTGGCTTTGGTATTAAAGCTGCCTCTAGAGATCATTTAAAGAAAACGCAGGTGACTTCATCTCTTTATTATCAAAACATTTTTTTAAACTGTCTTACATGCTTCAACTTGTTTTAATAAGATTTGGCAAGAAAAGTGGGATAAAATAATAACAACGTTCCCTAAAGCTTATACAACTGTTGTGATCTGTGTCTTGGTTAGATAAAATATGGCTTGAGTTTCAAATTTAGAAAAAAAAAAGTGTTAAAAATGCTAAAAAAATACTAGGTAGCCCTTGACTTATGACCACAATTAGACCCAAATTTCTGTTACTAAACAAGACGGTTAAGCGAGTTTTGCCCCCTTTTGCAATCCCTGTAACAGCATTTCTGCAAACCCAATATAGTTTTCTTTTTTTTCTAATTGGAAAACATCAGAATAGGGGTCTCAAACTCAAATGAATGCAGCCATATTACATAAAATATCCTGAATAGAGAGCTACATTCATACACATGTAAAATGCAATAGGTATTGAATGTTTAAAATTATTAATCCAATTATAATGTAATAATAAAAATGGATGACAAAAACAAAATAACTACTATCTCTAATCTGTTTATTCTCTTGCATCTCAGTGCAGTTGTTTCTGTGTACCTCCCTGGTGCTAAACAGCATAGACGAACGACAGCATCAGTGCAATGTTCCCTCCGTAAGCCTGTATGATCATTACAGGCCAGCACAGTGAACGCACACAAAACAAAGCAGCAGGCCAGGACAATGACAGTGAAGAGCAGCAGCCTGCAGTGGTAGGATTTGGTCTTTGACAGCCCATTAAATTATTGAGCTGTTGTGGATTTCAGATGACAAAGAGAGCAAGGCAGGATAGGCTCTAACAATGTCTTTTACTTTTGAGGGGGAAAACGCAGCAGGTTCCTCTGTAGGTTTGAAGTCTCTGCACCAACTATAGGGTAATGTTGGAAAAGCTCATCTAACCTGCAACGAAGGTGGCACAGTTGACACTATCCACAATGCAGGAATGGTTGGTGAAAATGTCAGAACTTGCTGAGATGGCTAAATTGACTTCTTTGATGAGAAAAAAGACAACATCTGTGTTTATTGCTGACTGGAAACTCTTTACAGACTTTATGCGTGAAATAGAAAAATAAACTTAAGATTTATGGTTTTGATAAAATAGATTACAAAAAATAGATTACAAAATAGATTTCAAAAAGAGAGAGATGTTGCAATTCTAGAATGAGAGCTAAATTTCTAATTATAACTGCTGTAAAAAAGATCAGAAGCTACTTGTTTCTTTATCTTTTACTTTTTTCCCTTGGACTTTTAACTTTCTCCGTGATTTCCTTTTTGATTTTTCTCACTTTATATTATTGTAGTGTTAACTTTTATCTTTTAAAAAATCTTTAATAAAAATATATCAAAACCAAAAGTGGTACAGTTGATAAAACCTTCAAGCTGCATGCTAATATTAATTTTCTCAGCAAATAGCTAATAGCCTGATTTAATAGCTTCCCTAGTTATTTTTTTTAACAAGTTATATAACAAGACAATTGGTGTAGGGGATGTCTTAAGAGATGAAACTATAAAGCAGGTTCTTTGTTTGATTTTGCCTGTACTAGATTATTTTTTGCAAGCCACTTGTTCTCGGCCTCAGTACCTTTACTAATTAGATTACAATTATAAAGATTCCTATAAGTTGCTTGTATGTCTGAAAGAACTATACAAGAAGGTATGTGCTGTTCAGTTTATGCAACCTGGATGTTATAGCGTCCATGATGGGCATTTATATGCAGCAAAGATAGGAAAATGCTAACAAGTCACATAACTAAATTTTATGTCCTTAACATTTAAATCAAGACTACAACCTTGTTTGTTCAAAGCTGCATTTGCTGCATTTCCTTAAGGGCTGCCATTTAGTAGTAGGGTATCCCTTTTCCACCCTCCCAGGTGGGCTGGGCATATATGTTTTAAGAGATCTTTGAAGATTGTAGTGCATTTAGTTCTAGAATGATAAATTGCTTACAG